TTTCGTGCAAATCGAAAGATTTTCAGGGTCTAAAGTCCGTAAATCGGGCAAAAATATATATGTGAGCTATATCTAAATCTGAACCGATTTTTCCTAATTTCAATAGGGTTCGTCCTTGGGCCAAACAAATGAGCTGTGCCAAATTTCATCCAATTCGGATCATAAATGCGACCTGTACTTTGTTTACAATTTAACATGGACAGACGGACAGACGGACGGACGGACATGCATAAATCGATTCAGAAAGTGATTCTATGCATATTCTCAAAAGGAACCATGGGTCTATCTCGATTATTTTTGCCTGTTACAAACATATGCACAAAGACATGATACCCTGTACCACAGTGTGGTGAAGGGTATAAAAAGAAAATGATGGCCCACATTACCCGAAGTTACTCTACGTCGGCCTATTTTAATCTTTAGTTTATTTCAGACAGCGTTTTTTCAACAGTGCCGCCCTTACGAGTAGATTGTCTTGTTATTGACAATGGAATATATCAGTCCACGTTTAAGATGAGTCCCCAAATGGTAGCATGTTCATCTTTTATGGGGATTATGATGATATTTATCAAAATTTATCAATATCGGTCTCCTTTTAGGTATAGCCACGGCGAAAATTAATGCCGTTCAGCAATAATTACACCTTAAAGTTTAATTAACGCAATAACTGAAGCTGAAGACCATCAACATCGGCGTGTCTGATTGCATGAACATGATTATTGCAAATTGACAATTTCTAGGTTTTGCGGTTTATGGACCGGGTATGTTCTCTATATCGAATAGTTTTTCAAAGGAGATTTTGTAACTTACTGGATATCAGAAATACTAAATTGCAAAACCTTTGAAGGAAACATTCCTAATATTTCAAAATTAGGAATGGGTAGATTCTGAAACCAATCAGAATCAAAACATTTAATGTAAACGGTCCCTATATATCTTTCGATTTGCACGAAATTTGGTACAGTCTTATCATTTAGGTCTAGAATGATGTCTGCCAAGTTTCATGAAAATCGGTCCAGATTTAGATATAGCTCCCATATATAGTTTCGTCCGATTTCATGTAAATGGTGCCCCAAAGTCCCTATATATCTTTCGATTTGCACGAAATTTGGTACGGCCTAATCATTAAGGTCTAGAATGATGCCTGCCAAGTTTCGAGAAAATCGGTCCAGATTTAGATATAGCTCCCATATATAGTTTCGTCCGATTTCATGTAAATGGTGTGCCAAAGTCCCTATATATCCTTCGATTTGCACTAAATCAGGCATAACGTACTGAATTGAGCCTAGAATGATGTCTGTCAAGTTTGGAGAATATCGGTCAAGAGTTAGATATAGCTCCCATATATGGTTTCGTCCGATTTCATGTAAATGGTGCCCCAATGTCCCTATATATCTTTCGATTTGCACGAAATTTGGTACAGCCTAATCATTAAGGTCTAGAATGATGTCTGCCAAGTGTTATGAAAATTGGTCCAGATTTAGATGTAGCTCCCATATATAGTTTCGTCCGATTTCATGTAAATGGTGCCCCAAAGTCCCTATATATCTTTCGATTTGCTCGAAATTTGGCATAACGTACTGAACTGAGCCTAGAATGATGTCTGCCAAGTTTCAAGAAAATCGGTCCAGATTTAGATATTCATGAAAATTGGTCCAGATTTAGATGTAGCTCCCATATATAGTTTCGTCCGATTTCATGTAAATGGTGCCCCAAAGTCCCTAAGTTTGGAGAAAATCGGTCCAGATTTCGATATAGCTCCCATATATAGTTTCGTCCGATTTCATGTAAATGGTGCCCCAAAGTCCCTATATATCTTTCGATTTGCACGAAATTTGCTATAGAGTACTGAATTAGGTGCAGAATGCTGTGTGCCAAGTTTCCCAAAAATTGGTTCAGATTTAGATAAAGCTCCCATTTATAATTTCGTCCGATTTTATGTAAATGGTGCACCAAAGTCCCTATATATCATTCGAGTTGGATATAGCTCCCATATATAGTTTTGTCCGATTTTATGTAAATGGTGCACCAAAGTCCCTATATACCTTTCGATTTGCATGAAATTTTGGACAGCGTACTGAGTTAAGTCTAGAATGATGTGTGCTAAGTTTCGTGAAAATCGGTCTAGATTGAGATATAGCCCCCATATATATTTTCCTCCGATTGAAGGTAAATGGGGCACCAAAGCACCTATGTATGCTTCGATTTGCACGAAATTTGGCATAAAGTACTGAATTAGGTCAAGAATGACGTGTGTTAAGTTTCGAGAAAATCGGTCCAGATTTAGATTTAGCTCCCATATATAGTTTTGTTCGACTTCATGTAAATGGTGCACCAAAGTCCCTATATATCCTTCGATTTGCACGAAATTTGGCATAACATTCTGAATTAAGCCTAGAACGACGTGTGTAAAATTTCCTGAAAATCGGTACAGATTTATATATATATATATATTCGTCCGATTTTATGTTAATGGTGCACCAAAGTATATCCTTCGATTTTCACGAAATTTGGATTTATAAGTAAATGAAGATATCGGTTTAGATTTCGATATTTTGCTTTAAATTTATTTACATAATTTTCCATTGTAAGAAGCAACTCTATATCTGACCAAAATTTAGTATAGGTTGCGGAATGAAATGTTTATTTTAATGTTAATGGTCCTTCAAAAATGCGACGTCCGTTAGGATCCCATCTGTTGAATATACCCATAGTGGTGAAGGGTATCATATAGTCGTCCCCGTCCGACTTTACTACTTTCCTTACTGGTTTCTCATTAGCACACTCAGTTTAAAAGTAATTTTAGCTTGAAATTGGTCAAGCGCAAAAACAGCTGGAAGGTCCAGACATGTTCGGCAGTCTTGCAACCCTACAAACGATCTACTTTTACAAATTGTTAGCATTCTATTTTTTTCAAATTGCATATGATAACTATATTAGATTCTAAGAAAAAAACTGTACCCACCTAAATATTTGTCAAGAAAAACAACAAAATTAAATAACAAGAAAAAATCGGCAACAATTTTGTGCGTATTTGCATTTAAACTTCTGCTCATAACATTACCATAGCTCGAAATTAATTTGAAAATAACTTTTGAACAAAATGATATTCTCAACAGCATATCTAAATGGTAATGTTAACGACTTGAAATTAAACAATCTAAACGTAAATATAATTTTATGTGGGGGTGTGTGTAGAATTTACTTTTTCTTTTTGGCTGTAACACAACTAAATGAAAATGTGTAAATATACAATATTTTGAAGTGAAAGTAGGAAGAACTTGAATAAATAAACGTATGAATCTTTTGACTATCATCACATCATCATCGGGAGTTTTTTGTATAAAATGCAAATGGATTTGTAAAAAAACTTTCTTCGTACTGCTATTGTTACATCTAATAAGAACAGAAAAGTGAATGGAATAACATACACACTGGCGTTTACAGGCACACACATAAACATGGCTGGAAAAACTAATTTTCACTTTAGTGTAATTTACAATTCAAATTTATAACAAATATCTACAGATAAACACAAACGTAGGTCTGTCTAATAAATTTATGGAAAAAAATCTGATGAGACGAGAAGCAAAGTCAGTGTCGAGGAGGCGTAGTATGATGTGCTCAATTTTATACAGTCAAATTGATTTTTGTTTCTGAACAGCAGGGCCACTTCGGAACAGAGATTGATGGTGATATTGGCATATCGTTCAGCCAATGCCAATCGTTACAACAATCCAGATTAAAAAAAAAACCCCTAGTATTATTTCCGAGGATGGGACAATATAATTATTGATGATCAGACCTCGTATACATAATATGACACTCTGAATCGATTTATATATGTATATCAATCATTCTGTCTGTCTAAATTTTTTTGTAAAAAAATTCCGATCGCAATTAGTATCCAATTGGAAAGAATCTGGGCATAACTCATTATATAAGCCCTAAAATGTTGACACTAGTAATAATCGATTTAGATTATGTAGAGCTCCCAGAGCAAAAAAAAACACAAGACCCAACAAAGGGCGACACCCATTTATTTCGGATTAAAATGAAATTGTACATATAATTTTATATAAAGTCTAGTCGTTTGTCATACTTGCATATAATATATATATATATATATTGTATATAAGAAAATGTTATGCGTTATAAAGATCATTACAGCTCTTCATGTGCACAATTAAACTGATGTATCATATTACTCTACTTACTAATTGAAAACAGTAATATACAAAATTGACCCATAAATATCACACTTATGAAAATTTTTCTGCCAACTGAACTGATCTCTTCATCGGAATAATTTAGTTTCTGTAATTCAATATTTTCTATTTAAACAAGTTGCAGTAAAGTAGCTCCACCCTACTTTCATTTGCAAACACATTCCCCTGAAATACAATTGAATCTTGTTGTGAGGATAACAGCTTAACCACCCTGTAGGGAATGGAAATAGTAAAATTGTAGTAATTTTATACTGACATTGTCGTTAGTACTACTGACTAAGTGTACCCAACTTAATGTAATCTTCTATTGACAATTAACATTACCATGTCATAGGAAATCCACCAGTAGACAGAAGTTCTACTGACTAGGTATTAACTTTGACGCCATATGGCGACATTGACACCAAAGATTCACTAGTACTTCTTAGCAGATTGAGTCTACAATATTATTGTGAATTGTAGTAGATTACCAACGACATTGTATTCAAATTGAAAAGAAAATTAGTTATGAATTCATATGATTTATTTAATGTCATTAATTATTCTATATATATATATATATATATATTATTAAATAAATACACAGATTAAAGCAATTCAATTCAGTCTTACAATTAAAAACATAAGCGAAAAATTTATATCTGGATAAAGATTAAATCAATTAATTTCATTTTCAGCTTTACAGTTAAGAATAAATAAATTAAATTCATTTTCTTCAGTCTTACAATTAAAAAACATAAGGGACAAATATATATGTACAGAAAGATTAAATTAATTAAATTCATTTTCTTCAGTCTTACAATAGAAAAAACACAAGGCAAAAATATATATATATATTATTTCTGCATTCCTGCGGCTGTTTTCTTTAAAGAATTTCTTTTTTTGACGTTGAAAAGCTGTTCTTAGAGCCTTGTCTGCACACTTGTCGTACGTTGATATTACATCTAAGTATTGAAACAAAAAGATTAAATTTAATTATTGGTATTTTTGAAAGGTTTTTTGGCTTTGTACCTATTATTGCTGCATGGACTTTTCCATATTTAGATAAACTTTTCTTGCCAAAAGTTCCATCCACATTGTAATTCATTATAATAGATTTCCCAAATACAAGGTGTAAATTGCGTGCGACGTTGCCACCAATGAGATTTTTCATTTGGCGAATCTGCAAGAATAATTATAAATTTTATTAATTAATTATACATTCTATTTCCTGAATACAAAAAGCTTACATATGGGTCTGACTGAGTTGCTAATAAGTCTTCTAATTGCTTTAGACTTTCGTCCGTGTTTATTGGGAAGATGGCCATAATGTTTTGCACAATCGAGTTTTGGGAACCAATGCGATCTAGCAAAATTTTATGCTCGCCCAAAATCTGCAGTATCGTGTCCATTTTTTTTCCTATATCTTCACACGAAGTACACTTTGAAGTTGCTGGAAAAATATATAATGTTGTAATGAATACAATTTCGGTAATGCGAATTCGTTATATTAAAACTTACCTTCTGAAGAATAATATTTCATTTTTCCCTTGGATGGTATTGCTCTTTCGTCAGACATTGTTGTGTAGAGCGGGTGTACAAAATTAATATTAACAATGTGCTATTTACTGCAAGATCTTGGAATATTGGCTTGTACTTTTTCTGGAATGCATGAGTGTAAAATGGGTATTATTACGTAATCCGAGTGAAATGGCAGGCATACAAATTTATATTGCACATCTCTAATTGAAAATTTTTGCTTTTCGCCCAAAGCTAAATTTGTTTTGAAGATGCCTAGTTCGCAAGAATTTACGGGTTCATCGTAAAAACTCTCTAAGAGCAGCAATGCCCGACCTTCAATATAAACTTCATCGACTTGATTTATATTTTCAATTTTTATGGCAGTAAATGAAGTCGTGGAACAAATATTATCGGGCTCCTTCCAAGATATGTAACAGTCATTAACAAAAGCTCCTACAATTATATCTCGTTCGTATTTAATGTCATCGTTTTTAGTTTGAATATAGGCTGCGAGTTTTTCTTTTCGTACAATTTGTTGAAGGATTAATGAGGGTTTTCGGACATGTCTTTTCAAAATCTGCAATTTGTTTTCGAAGTCGTATGCAGAAAACGAAATAAGGGGGCCGTATTTTTCTGCACAAGAAGCCAAATGCAGCAGATTGTGAACATTAAAAGAAACACTGTTTGGCCCGAATACAGTTGAGAAATTCTCGACAAATAATTGAAGCAAATCATTAGACTGTTTAATATTTTCAGCAACGTGTCGCGGGGAGCTAAGTAGCCGATAAGCACAATGTAAAGTTAAAAACTCGTAGAATATATCCTGGTGTACTTTATTATGAAGGACAATTATGCCCGTATATGCGAGGAACTGGTGAAATTCAGTCGCTTTCCAGTGATGAAGGTCATCTAAAGACCTTGGTTTTCTAGGAAACTCCTTTGGAATACATTTTTTTAGTTTCACTAGGTCAGAAGATATTTCTGATATATTTTTTTTGGAGTCTTTTCTTGTGTTTTGTTGTTCACTATTCTAACAAGCATTTTTTTTGTGACTCCAAGGTCAATAAGATGCATGCTATCTAACGGAGTCTGTGATACCATGCCAAATCCTATTTCTTCAAGCGGACTTCTCTCTTTCTTAAACAGTTCAGAATGATGGTTGGGATACTTTCTCAAAGTAAAATCAATATCGGATATCAAAGTTCCAACAGCGCTACTGTATGTCAGTACATTGTTCACTTTTGTCGCAACCTGTGTGCACTTCGTACAACCATACTTTGAGGTATGCCCAGGAACGCCGCAAATGAAAGCTTTGGCTGGAGTATCGCATGTTAAGCAACGAAACTTTAATTTCATTATTTTTCCATTTAACGTAATTTCCTTTAATGAAGTTGCTTCCTTAACGAAGTCTTTTAAATAATCTTTAATGCAACTCGGTTTAGTGGTTCCCAAGTATATACCAACAGCAAAAGGTTGAGTTTTTTCTTTTATGTTGACTATTTTACAAAGAATTGGCCACAATTGGACTCGCGAGCTTTTAAACAGGGGAATCCCGTCAATGTTTATATCCAAAACGACCTCGTCGTAGTTTTGCAAAACGTGTTCAAACTTCTTTAGCTGCGTTTCAATTCCAATGTGGCAGTAGCTTCCAGGGCAAACATTTCTCACCAAAACCTGTGCTTTTTTTCCCAACAAACTTTCTATACGAAGTGGAACATCTAGACCTTCCTCATTTAGTATTAATAGCAGCTTCTCCGCACATTTCCTAGAAGGAGCTGTTTCGATGTACCACTTCCTCAATTTGTCCCGCAACGTCAATTTCGGAATAGCACAATCCTCCGAATTCTCCACAAAATCTTCATGGTCTTCTAGAATTTCACATTCACCATTTTCTTGCTCATTTTGTACACTTCTGTTTATATAGATTGTGGCTTGTTTTTTAGCAAGTCTTTTATAATGTCTTTTACTTATATTTTGTCTTTTACTCATATTTTATAATTTTTTTTATTTGTAATCACTTTAAATACCTTATTCGCACAATAACTCCAACAATATTTTTCGCACAATGCACAATTTCAAGCAACACGTGTGTTTTTCACAAAAGAAACTAATGAAATGAGAAGCAAAGCAAACATCAAAAAATGTGTATCTATTGACATCAAAGTCTAACGGTAAAAAACTGTTGACGCGGTCGTTGACAATGTTGCCACAAATACACTACAGATAAAGTCTACAACGTTTACATACTCCCGCAATAAAGGGAAGTTGTTGACATTTTATCTAGTACCATTTTTGCTATAAAATAGGTGGTGACATAGAGATACATGGTTCTCTGCTTGACTACAGGGCATATATTCCACTATATACACATGAATCTGAATAGAACAATCACAATTAACTACCATTTGTGTAGTTGTGAACAAATACGATAGCTTTTAGTTGAACATCCTGGCAATTATGCACGCGAAATACAGTGGTTCAAATAACCTAGATGTGATAGGTCTTTGGTACACCATTTTCTTTAAGTCAGACGGAAATATGTATGAGAGATATATCTAAATCCGAGCCGATTTTTCCAATATTCGATAGGATTCCTACTTGGGCTAAATACATAAGTTGCGCCATATTTCGTCCAATTATGATCTTAAATTTTAAAATTTTACATGAACATGCAGACAAGCGTACATGTATAATTCGACCAGGGGGTCCGGGCTCCCAACGAAATTTTTATACCCTATATGTTGTCAGGGTATTATAGCTTTCTGCATATCCAAGAGTTTGTAACGTCCTAGACCCACCTTTAAGTCATATCTCGACTAGTTGAGTCGATCTAGACATGTGTGTCCGTCCGTCCGTCTGTCCATTATAATTTGTAAACACAATACAGCCAACAGTTATGGACCAATATTTACGAAATTTTGCATGCTGGATGGGTTCTGGCCAATGAAGACCCCTATTGTTTTTGGTGAAGATCGGTTAATATTTAGGGGATGAAATGGACCAAATACTAAATTTTTGTCTGATTTTCTGGAGAAGAGGTCGGGCCAAAGAATAAGCATGCCTGTTTTGATGAAGATCGGTCAATATTTAGCGAGTCAAATGGACACTGACTTTTGTGTGAAAAATTACAAAATTTGTATTTTATAGCGTATATATTTACCCCTGAAAGATATAGACCCGATAAGTTGATAGTATATCCAAGAGGAGTGGTTGACCTCTAAATTGATACCAATTATATAGTCGTATGCACTCGAATGTGGGAGATACACTTAAATATGTACAAGTGTTTACGTGATCATATATTATTTAGTAATACATTACCAT